CTATGTTTGGCAGTCAACAAATCAAATAAAGGAGAGATATCAGGAAAATCTTCTCAGGATTCAGACTATTTTTCAGGTGGCAGACTGTTTTTCAGATGGCACTAATACTTTTTATTAATTAGTTTATTTTCACTCTTTTTCTAATGCCACATGTTTTTTGAATTGTAGCTTTCCTCTATCTTAAGCAAAGTCATTTTCAACAGCTAAATGAATGCATATTGATAGCTTAATTACACAAAACTTAAACCAACACCTTTAAAAATTTCCTCCCTCCCACTCTGAAAATAGTGCCTTAATGTCTACCTCAGGAGATGGTAAGACTTCAAGACCAACATCACCAGATAAAATCTGACCCAGTTTTGCCTACTTCTATTGTTATATATACATCAGCAAATAGGCCGATTGCTGTAGTTTCCTTATTATTCCAAATAATTCTCTATGGTGAACACAATTCAATGTAGAGTATTTTTAAAATTGTACAAATACAGATGTTACAGAGTTTGAACGTAAAGCTTCTACTGTAATAGCAAAAGTATTTGTATAAAGTTTCAATTACCATTTCTAATCAAAGGGACAATTTATAACGATACTTATTTGGTCTTTATTTTTCAAAGCAGAAAGCGTTCTCTTACACTYGCCTCAAAACAAACATTCGCAAAAATCACCTGAGTTTTATGTTTACTGACAGCTGCTTATGACTTCTCAAGTTTTAAATGCAACAGTCTCTAAGCAATAGACATATGGAGGAATGTTCCCCCAAAATGTGTTTTAACCCTCTCTATATGCAGATGRAGTGACCACACTGGTATGAGGCTGGCTGCTACATACTAAGCTGTGTCTGTGCTGTAGCTGAGCCTGTGTGTCCGTGTACATACTCCAGAAGAATACTGAATGCAGTCACCAAACTGCCCAAAACTACACAGCCCAATCCCACTTTACCAGATCAATTAGTTTAGGCTGTATTGCATGTATTGAAGAATGGGAGGAAAAAGAAGTCCATTTGAAAAAATGACTACAAAGGGCACATTAGAAAATTCACTTTACACTGTTCACTATGAGGTATCTCTTCTATCTCAAGTTAAACAATGATACATCTTTGCCAGAAACTTCGCATGAAGAAGTCCAAAGCATCATTTCTCATGCCTCTTGCCAGAATCGCATTTGCACACTCTAAGAATCACCTTTCAGCAATACAAAAAAAAACCTCAAACCAAACAAAAAACCAAAAACCCAACAAAAACCCAACAAAACCAAAAACCAAAAAGAAAACCCACAAAACCCCCTATTTTTATTATCCCTGCCTTAATAATACAAATGCTATGTCCATGGTTTAATTTGAATCTGAGTTGAAGCATGTGTGTTGTATCTACAATTCTGTTTCATTTGTAATCTGTTGAATTAGGCAAGTGTATTAGAAATGTAATTCCAGCTATTACAATGCGTTACATTTACTGAGAAACTGAGATTATTGTGTTCTATAGGCAGTCATCTGAGTCCTTCTGCTGCTGTTTCTAAATGACTTCCAGCAGATCTTCACATCTAGCAACCTCAAATTGTTTTTTTGTTTAAATACAGATTTTTTGTTCAATCKTCTACATTGCAATTACTCAAGAAATATATCATCATCCACTGTGTGCTAAGATTTCTTTTCAAAATTATTAAAAAATATACTTTTTAGCATTTGACTTTTGACCAACAATTTCAAAAATTTTTGAGTGTGTATCTGTAGTTTATGACATACTTATTATCTTCAGATTTCCAACAGTTTCTCACCACCATAACAATGTCCTGTTTGAATGCAGTTGTGTTATGCTGTAGCCCAAGCTGGCTATAAAATTATTTGTTTAGATTCTAAAACTTCTGTGATAGCATTATCATGAAAGTTCTGCTATGACCAGTCAACTTAAAACCTGGCCTAATGTTTATCTTCCATCCTGCACCCCAAACTGCCAGGCTTCTCTCTGTTGCTATGAATGTCCCTTCACTGTAAGGATTACATTTATGGGACATTAATTTTTAAATGCTTAGTTTTATAAAATCTATTTTGAGGTGATACTAAACATGATTTCATTAAATAAAGAATAAGCTTAATTTGCTTAGTSTTGCGTTAACTCCTTTGGAGACAAACAGCAAAATGAGTGAAAAGGCTATGCATATTAAATAGTACTGTTTAAACAGTTTGCTTTTTAAAAATGACAAATATTCTTGCGCTGTGTGAACTATTTTTGGCCTGTTGCAAAATATACTCAGGAACTGTGGCAATATCTTGATCACAGCTGTGAACAGAAACGAAGAACACTGACTTGACAAGAAGTGTTCAAATTCACGAGATTTGGAGCTTTCATTATATCTGGCCTATAAAATTGCTTTCAAGTACGGCAATCGTTAGRCTTCCTAATACAATGTGTAAATGATTTACATTACACTAATGTGCACTAGATAGCCCTCTGCTCCTATAGCCTGTCTCCACCTTGTTCACATTTCTCAAATGAAAGTGCAAAACCAACAGCACTACTTTAGCTTGTTAATTGTTAACTATCAAGGGTTTCACTCTATTAATTAAAATATGTTTTAGTAAAAGGAAACATAGCACATTTTGATAACAGCCTTCTAAGGCTGAAAAGTATTTACATTGTTGCATTTTAGGGCTGCTGTGAAAGCCGATTTTGTGCTATTCAGGGACCACAATAATAACGCTTTAAAATTCCTCACTGGGACGCAATGTAGTCCTTTTGATGGAAAGACTGTCTTTCTCATTCGGCAGAAATAAATCCATTCATTTGATCATGTAGTCATTGAGGGCAATACAAAACAAACCAAGTGTGAGAAATTCTATGTGATGAAGTAAACAAAACAAAACCCCCCCAAAAAGGGGRAAAAAAAAAACCATTTCCATGACAAAAAGATTCTTTGTCCTTAATCTACCCACCATATGCAAGCGTTTCTTTTTAGCATATCTCTTGTTCTAATCTCGGGTGACATGGCTACATAGATAAGATTCACAAAACAAAACAAAAACCTAGTTTAACAATTTTTTTCAATTTATTAACTCACCAGGAGTGTCATAATGAAGTAGTGGGGTTTTATTTTTCTGCACTGAAATGGATGCAGAGCATGTAAAAGTTTACAATGCTAATGATAAATTCTCAGACCTAGAGTCCAACCCAACAGAGATGGGCTCAACAAATCTTGCTCGCTTTCATGACAAAATACTGATTCTCATCTGCTTGTCTATATTGATTTATTTTACATGACTGCAGTTTCCTAAGGAAAAAAAAATTGAAAATACACTGCTTTGCCCCTCCACTGTGACAGAAGGAAGCATTTCTATATGCCTGTTATTGTCAACACCCAAGTGAGTTTTCCTGGTGAAGTGGCAGTAGTCCCCTTAGCAGCTCTGGACAGTGTGGGACTTGCTCCCTGCCTCCCCAAACACCCTGGGAAGGAGCAGGAGGCTTAACAATTTGCCAGTCTGACAGATGTTTTAACCTGATGAAGTGGATTCCCACTGCCTTAAGCTTCAGGCCTGCAAAGTTCAGATACAATAGTCAAAATCCTCCTCAGGCTTCAACTTTGCTGCCTTTCTCCCCTCACAGAGGCAATTCAAGAGTAATTATAGTTTTAAAGCAGGAGAAGGACTTTTTTCCCCTTTTCGAAGGGAGAGAGGAGATAATACAGTGGAGCAAGGGCCTACACAGAAAGCCGAAAACATTGGGAAACCCGCTTGGTTATGCGAGAAACTACGAAAGGCTCTATGCAAAGAGGAAAAGAAAAACTTTCAAGTGGAAGCTCTCAACTTAGTACAGGAGAAGCGAGCATGGGCTCTAGCGTGCCATTGCATGCTGCAGTGCCAGGGACTACTAAGGAAATGAAAACTAAAAAAAAAAAAAAAAAAAATTGAAAAAAAAAAAAGACAAAAGGAAGAAGAAAACCCTGCAGCCCTATTCTCGGAAAGAATATTACAGCAAAGTGGAAATAAGGTGTGATTACAGTCCGGATCTCTCCAGCTTTGGACACTTGTTCACTAGCAGCCTGGCAGCCCAGATGCATAAAAGCAAGTGTGCGTGTTGCCTGCRTGTGGGGAGGAAGCGAGGAATGGCGGATGGGCGAGAAAATAACCCTTCCTCACTGCCTATAGCCGGCGCGACAGGGGCTGGTGGCGGTGCACTAAGTGTCACCTACCACTGATAATAATTACAGTCGCAGCAGAGCCAGGAGGCGAAGAGGGGAAGGCAGCGCAGGGGGAAAGGCGGAAAGCTGCTSTTCAATCCTCTCGAAAATAATGAAACCAACTCCGCTGATCCCGCGCACCCGAACGGCCCTACCCGCTYCTACCAGGGTCCCCCTTCGGCCCCGCGGGGCAACCGCGGGGAGCGGCCGGGGCAGTCCTCGCAGTCTGCGCGGGAGACCCGGAGCGACGGGGGCAACCCCAGGCAGCGGCCGCCGTGGGGCTGCCCCGGGCTACGGCAGCCCATGGCCCTCGGGACCTCACACAGCCCTGGGCAGAGCACTCCGGCCCCGGCCGCCCCAACTTTCCTGGCGGTGGGGCGAGGGGAACATGGATTCTGTCCGCTCAGAGCCTCCGCCGGGAGGGAGCAGGAGGGAGAAAAAGGGGGTAACACAGAGAGAGGGAGCGCAGCGGAGGAGGAGGAGGAGGCAGGCGCTGCTCCGGGGCGCCCGTTCCTGCAGCTGCTCGAGCCCAAGTGAGTAGGGAGGGAGGGCCGAGCCCCGCCGCCGAGCCCAGCCGCGATCAAAGCGCTGGGGAGGCCGGGAGGTTGCTGCTGGGAGGGCTGGTTAGGCAGGGGGTGGGCTGCAGAAACTTGGCTAAACTGCGAACTTCTCTGTTCCGCTGCCTCTTCCCCCGGCTGCTCTAATTCCCATTCTCCCGCTGCAGAGTAATTGCGCTCCCATGTTCACCATCACCATAAATTCACCTATCTCCATCCGAAACACACAAAAAGAGAGAGAGAGAAGGAGAAAGAGGCGCCGGGTGCCCTTACCGTGCTCAGAAACTACCTCTGCTTGCAGCTCTTCATCCGATTTGAGATGCTGGGGTTTCGCTTGCTTTCGACGAGACATGCTGCTAACTGAGCCGTCTTGACTCTGCTTTTTGCAGAGGCATCAGAGACGTGGAGGTGGAAAGGAGGGGGGAGCAATTGGGAACGAAGGAAGGGGGGTTGGGGGCTGGAAATAACTGTTCACAAATAAAAGTCGAGTTGCAAAACAAACCAAACAAACAACTTAAAAGGCAACCAACACCCCGGCAAAAAAAAAAAAAANGCCAGCCAAACTGGGAGTGAGTGAGTGAGTGAGTGCGCGGGTGAGCGAGCGGGGGACAAGCCGGGCGGGGTGTGCGCGGGGCGGCGGGCTGGGGCGGCTGCGCGCAGCGCGCATGGGGCTCAGTAATTATGATTGTGAATAATGCATGGCGATTAATGGTGCTGGGGGCAAGCGCGGATTGGCGCGGCTCCAGCGGACTCCGGCTGCATATGTAAATGAAGGACGGGGCTCCGCAATTAGCCGCTTCGCTCCGCCAAATGATGCGTCTCCGCGGCACCGGCAGCGCCGCCTGCGAGAGGCACCGACCGCGTCGGTGGCGGCGGCAGCGGCAGCAGCGGCGGCAGCAGCGATGCACACACGCACCACGCAAGAGGGAATCTGTTTTGCACACACTTTACACAACATATGTGCAAGGTTCACTTGTTGGGAAAGGTCACGATCTTCGCTTTTCTGTCTGTCGTTCTTTCTTCCTCTCGTCTCTCAGTTTCTTTTGCTTTGCTTTCTGCTCTGTTTGCTTWTTTTWTTWWTTTTTTTTTTCTTTTCTTCACATCACTCTCCGTCCTCTGCTCTCTCGGTCTSTCTTTCCCCAGAAGTTGAGCTGCAAGGCATCTGATTTCTCTGCGTGTGTGAGTAATTTCTTCCCAGGAGGAAAAGAAACTTTTTTAAAATGCCTTTTCTTTTTCCTTTTCTTTTCGGTCTGCTTTCTTTTTCGGCGTTGCACTACTCTTTCCCCTTGCTCTTCACATGCTTCTCTTTAGCTCTTCCTCCATCCTGTCTCCTTCCCCGTCGCTCTTTCTGTCTCCCCTTCCCGGCTGACTTTTGTTCTCTCCAGTCTCGAAAGTGCACTCACGCACACGCAGAAGACCTTGGGCAGTTTTGTCTTTCACCTCTCCTTCCTTCTTCTTTGTCTTGCAGCTTCTTTCTCCAAGCAGAGACTCCCCGTTGGTGGTGGTGGTCACTTCCTGTTGTCCATTGGTAGGAAGTTTTTTTTTCTTTCTCCCTCTCTCTCTCAGGTTGTAATGACTTTTTGTGACACTCCTCACCCTTCCGCCCACCCACCCCCGCCCGGCTCAGCCGTGTGTCCTGTTAGCTAGTGATAGCGGGCTCTCGTGTGCGCCGATGAGCAAGTCCTCGGTCTCCAGCAAATAGCATGGATCCTCTCCCAGTTTTGGGGGGTGGGGGTAGCTGTTGTTGTTGTCGTCGGGTGATCCCCCCTCCCCTGCCTTGCCTCGTTCTCAGCGGCGCCGCCAGCTGCTCCCTGCGCGGCGGCTCCGCCGGTCGCTGCCTCCGCTCCGTGCCGAGGAGCGCTGCGCGCAACGCGGCCGCTCTTGATTTCGGGCAGATAAACTTTCAAGTTTGGGAGCGGTGCGGGTCACACGGCGGCTCCTCCTACTCTCCTCCTCCTCCTCCGCCTCCCGTGCCGCGCTGCCGGGGTTGCCGCCGGGGCTGCCCCCAGCCCCGCAGCCCGATCCGCTCCCCGCCGCCGCCGAGCCTCCCTCTCCGCACGCACTTTCCCAACAGCGGCTTTTCTCCCACGCGCCCCCTTTTTTTTTTAAAGTGAGGAGGGGGGGTGAGGAGAGACTTCCCTCCCCCACCACCCCCCGCTTTCCCGTCTTATAGCATTATAAGTTGCCGGGGAGCCGGGCCGAGTCTCCTCCGCCCCGTCCCGCCGACTCGCGTCCCTCCCGCCCCGTCCATCCCCCGGGGAGGCGGGCGGCCCCTCCGCCGCGCAGCAGCTCTGTCTGCCCAGCCGCCRCCACAAGTTGCCGCTTCCCGTGGCCGTCCCTGCCCGCCTCCCCCTCGGCCGGGGCGGGCGGGGAGTGCGGCCAGCCCGCTCCCATGGCAGCCAGCCGCCGCTAGGATGTACCCCACCGTCGCCGATCGCCGCCGCGCCGCACCGCGCAGGGGCCCGCAGTGCGCGCCCTGTCCTGTCGCGCAGTTCCGCGCCGTGCTGTGCATGTGTGCTTTCGGGGCGGCTCCTGCCATCCCCTCCGCCGTTTTGTTTTGTTTTTCTTTCTTTTTTTTTTTTTTTTTTTCTCCTTTTTAAAAAAAATCTGCTAGTCGCAGCCCGGCCCCTCCGACCCCCGCGCCGTGCTGCGCTCGGCGGAGTGGTCCCGGAGCCGGCTGTTGCAGGGGCGCGGAGGCGCAGACCACCTTGCCGGCCGCGGGAGGGAGGCGGGCAGCACCGCGCATGGGGCCGGGGATCAGTGAAAGGGATTTCCTCCTAATATCCCCACCCCAGCCCGTGTAATCCAGCCCTAGTCCTTAAAACACACTAACCCCGGCTTCTTTGGGAGCCTTCTCTGTGTAAACTTTCCCTGCTGATAGCTCCCATTATCTCGTGCGCTCTGATACCCTGTCTCTGGGTTTTCGGTTTTTTCTCCGCTTTTATGTCGGTAGGCAAACCAAATAAAGTTAGAGGCGATAGTTCAGGCCACTGCGGATAGTTTGCTGACACGCACAACATCAGCGACTTCTGTGGGGCAGGTATTCGTTAGAAATGGGCACGACCCTTAAGGGGAAGAACACTGAAACGCCAGATCAATGCTTGTTTGGTATTAGAAGAATGCACTTTTCTGTCCACCGTTTAGCGAGATGTGTACATGGCACTCCTCGCAATGATTGCCCGCTTCACAATTAAAAAACTTGTTTACTGTCTATAAATTCTAGTGCATCTTCTTCTCGTGCATCCGTCCTTGGTGAAAGTTTGGTTGCACTAAGAGTGTTTTGTTTAAAAGATCTAGAGACAATCGTGATGGTTGAAATATGATGCARTTTTCTAATATGAAGTGGGAGGGGACGAGCCCATTAATTGAGCATGTTTTTTTTCCGTCAGATGTTGGGATTTATTGCACCCAGATCACACRAATAACACGTTGCGCGTGTGTGTGTATGTGCTGCGTTAGATTGTAGGCAGAGTGCAGGTGAAAGCGAGCGTATGCAGGCGTTCAAGCAACCCTCGGCACCGCAGCCGTGAGTGGGGAGCTGGAGTTAGGGTTTCCCCTTCAAAAACAGAGAGGGCATTTTTTCCGACTTTTTCAGGTGAAGAGGCTTCACAGTCACTCCCTGTGACTGAGATATTTGCCYTGAGTGAAAACCCACTTTCACCTCGCCCAGCCATTTTTCCCCACAATCGCGGTAGTACCTGAAATGTGTCAATTTTCATCCAGTCATCTTTTGAAAAGATTTGCTGCTGTTGCTGAGGCAACATTTCACAACCACCCCCCCCC